GGCAATCAAAATCAAAGACGCCCCAGGCACGAACCCGTCTTTGAGCCTTAGTCGCTAAATCCTCAAAAGTTTATCTATTGATCTTTGTGACTCTTCTTCTTTTATCATCACCGGTTTTATAATTTTTCTTATTTTCCCCTGCTCTCCTCTATTTTTCGCTTATCCTTAGAGAGGTTTTCTATCTTTCGAGGTAGTTACCCTTCTGTGGCTTTTTCCAATGAATCATTGTAAGTGGTTCTGTCTCTTATTTGCCCGACATTCCTTACCCTGGCATCTGGCAAGATTTCTGTCAATTCCATGATGCGGTCTCAGCGGCCGACTGGGCTCGTGACCTCCCCCCAGTTGCGATTACTTCTGACAGGCAGCCGATCTACATCCGGAGGGGAGGGTGACGTTAAGATTCTCTTTTGTTTTTTTTTTTTTCTACCTACACTTCAAGCTTCTATTTCGGTTACACAATCTCAGAATGCCCGATTTCCTTGAATTCGCATGACATCAAGGATTACTGCTTCCTACTTCCTTGGCTGACAGGGAGTGAAGTTGAACCCTTTCCTCCATGCTGGTCTGGCGGAAGCTAAATCTTCTTGTACCTTTTTGTCAAATACTATTATTCATTTTCATTTCCTTTTTCATATTCCTTTTCATTTCTTTTTCTTTTTCTTTTTCTTTTTCTTTTTCTTTTTCTTTTTCTTTTTCTTTCCTTTCCTTTCTTTTTTTTTTGACTTTTTTACTTCTCAGTCTCACCCACTGCCTCCTCTCTCTCTCGCGCGCGCGCGCTTTCTAAGTTAGGGAGAGAGAGAGACCCATTGTGGTGGTGGTATTTCTCTATGTCTTTCCTTCCCTATCTATTTCATCATGCTCTCCTCCAATTTTCTACCCTCGCTGGCAACTATCCAAAGCTACCATGCTAACTATGGGTTTAATGTCAGCGACCCTTTTGCAAAACTCGTTTCCACTGGATGGTCCCCTCGATACTGACGGAGACTACGCGGGGGCGCAACGGCCGTTTTCTGGATCGACAGCTTTCCCAATGGATGAAGAAGAAACTACCCGGAGAGGTGGCGCCGTTGGCCATCCTCTCGCGCAGCCTGTCTCAATACCTGCTACCAACGGGTTGCGATACAACACACAGCAGACTGCACTGCAGGATGTACCGTAAGTTCAGTTCTCTTTCAACCCAGGCTATCCTCGTGCTCCACTTGTCCCGCTTGCAGCCACTAGTTGCAGCATTTCCTTATGTCCAAACAGCCTGACTACCGAGTAGCTCGCTGTTCAACTCACCACCCTACCTTCTCTCTGTGTTGCTGTCCTGCTGCTTCTGCCTCTTTGGATTAGTCCTTATTATTAGTTTTCCTATTTTATTGATTATTCTGGATTGGATCTTCTTGCTTTCAACCTCTGAATACTTGTCCTATTATTATCTCATGTTTATTTCCCCGATTCCTTCTGATATTCCGTTTCGGCCTGCTATCCTTATTTCATCAAAAGTTTGGGTCTGGTAGCCTGTTGCTTGCAGAGTGCATTGACTTGTTGCTCCCTGGTCACATCCTTGGATCCTTCGCCTCGCTTCTGATACGCTAATACATGCCTTGCAATCATGATGCGTTGGAAGCCAATGAACTATACTTGGCCTTTCTGTTGTCCTATCTTATTTTGGCCCTCGTTGCCGCCATCCTCTCCAGACTTTTTGACACCTCCCCCATCAACACAGCATTATGACTAAATAGACTCACAGCTACGCAGCGTCTCCAAGCATGATTATGAGCCCTACTGACTCGTGCTCTGGTTTGTCTCCATCTCGTCCTAGCCATCCGCTCTTTGTCTTTGGCTGTTTGAGCTCCTAGCTAACGAGTGGGGTTCCTAGCAGAGACCTTCTCTTCCACATCCAATTCTATCTACTCACATTCACCCGGCCTATCCTATGGTAGAATTTCAGATTTTAGATCCCATCGAGTTCCTCCTGCGCTGTAAGTCTGTCTACTTACACGATGATTTGTTCTCAACATGGGTTGATTGATAAGAAAATTTTGGGATCCATTTAGTCAACCACCGGCCAACATGCCGCCCAGCGTACCATCGCAAGCCACTGCAATTTCGGTGGGGAGATCCGACAATTATTCAGGCTATGCACTTCATCGCGGAACGTTCCCATCATTGTCTGCCCTACCCGAGATGGGTAGGACGGCCCCGTATACGACAACACCAAGAGCACTCGAAGGTCATGTCGAGCGTTCTCTTTTCGGGCAGACAACAAATCTGCTGATCGATCCTGTTCAGCGCTTGGCGCAGCCCATGACAGATGCGCCTCCGTTTCATGAGACCAATGTCATTCACCCTATCATCTCGGGCAATCAAACAATCAGACCCGAGATACAGGCGAAAATTCACAAGGGATTTTTCCAAGTGGACGAAAAGTGGACCTGCTATCGCCGCAATTATTTCTCTGTCTCGTGTTCCTTCTCCTTATGCCCTATGCCTCACGGTCCCCTTTACCTCAAATTCTCCGAGCAATCAACGGCAGAGCGCATCTTGTCATTTTCTATGTCTATCTCGGCAATAGTAAATGCACAATGCGGGGAGCCTCGAGAGCTGGTTCAGCACACCCCGAAACGAGACAAGCAATCGGAAAGAAAACCAGGGAAGATCGTGCTTCAACCGTGCCAACCTTCGCCGTTAGCCCTGGGCCACGGCGGGGCATCCAGCAGCAGTCCTCACGGCTACTCACTCACACAGTCGGCTGGAATACCGATGGAGTATACTGCGACGTACGCTGGGGCCCCACAGCCGTCCCAGCCCCCGACACAACACACTTTTGAACGCATCCAATTTCAGAAAGCAACGGCAAACAATGGCAAGCGGCGGGCTCAACAGCAATACTACAATTTGGTAGTAGAGCTATATGCAGAAGTCTCCCATCCGGTGGGTGGAACTGAGACCCAATGGTTTAAGATAGCCCGCCGACTTTCTCACCCCATGGTCGTTCGTGGTCGTTCCCCGGGCCATTACAAAGACGGCCGACGCGATAGCTCAACGAGCATGGGCCCAGACGGGGGAAGTGGTGGCTCGGGCGACGGCACCGGAGGCGCTGTCCTGCCCCCGGGGATAGGACAGGCTGCACGGTCTCACTTGACCTTAATGCCGTACGACTCTTCTCACCGCGGCGGTCCACATTATCCTCGAACAAATTACCATCAAATGACAGCGGCAGACCAGTCACCGCTCAGCGAAAGCCCGCATATATCTTCATCTTCGTCATCAGCGTTTGACCTGGGGCTCATTACGGAGACGATGGACCCTATGGATTCGATGAAAAGTACGACTAGTATAGATTCATATCAGGATCCTGGCTACAATGTTCTGAATGGCCGAAAGCCCGGCAGCCAGTACCGCCACCACCTACCGTCTTTTGACTACGACTCAATCACTAAAAGCAGCGACGAAACCGGCAGCGGGTTCGCGGACACTTACGACCCTATGGTCTCGTTTGTTCCCAACGACCAGCATGAGTCGTCGCATTATCTAAAACAACCTTCTCGAATGGCTCCAAATCTCTTTCATCATTCCACGAGCAGTGGGTATGATCCTGTCTATTCAACGCGTGCCAGCGACGGCAGTCCTTACGGTCGCTTTTCAAATTCCCAGAGTCTGTGCGCTTAGCAGTTGGCGTTTCCGGCTTGACCCCGTCTTACTCTTTCCGTTACGCTCCTTTATGAATCTTGACCTCTAGTCCTGTGGACTGTGTTTCTCCTTGTATCGCCTCCTACATCCCTTCTCTTCTATTCTCAGCCTTCTCTCATTGAAAGCTCACACACTATCACTATATCTTTGCTATTCAAGGCCTCGGGAGGATCAAACTTGACGGTTCATTCTGGCCTCTCTTCTGCCGTTCTTGTCTCCTTCCTTTTCTCAATCCTTCTTCTTGTCTCTTGTCTGTTTCTCTTTCCGTGTGAATTGTTGTGAACTATTTTTCCGGGTGGGAAAAAGAAAAGATTTTCGGCTGCTTGCGATGGACTTTCCGAACAAAGCCTTCTATGTGTTCGATATAGACTGACAGCTTGAGTTCATTGACATTTGACATGTAGCCAAAGCGAGCGAAATTGCATTGATTACTCGAGAGAGCTAACCTATGTGAGCCTTTTTTTTTTCTTTGTTGCGGAGCTCGCTTATTCTAGTTTGCTAAGGTTCCGCCTCTAACCTAGCCCATCTGTTTCATTTCTTTTTGTTTTTGTACTTACCTGCGAGGAGAAGTAAGCCAGCAAGGGCTTGCCACCTCCCAGGGTATTATCTCAGGGAGACAGAATCCGTTCCGCGATAAGAAACCCCGATAATAGGGATAACAAACGCATGAAGTCTGAGCAAATGCACGAGAAAACCCAAGAAACAGGGAAATGCAACCTTCGCGGCCCAATTATTGGCTCTGGCGGGGGTGAAAAATTCTCCGATATGTTGCCCTACTTAGGACTAATTGGAGGGTCGCCGCTGTCAGGCCAACCTAATGATGCATGTCAAACCGACATGGGGGGGGGAGGGAGGATCGAGAGTGTACGGGAAAAAGCAAATAAAAAAGAACAAAAAAGAACCGAATTTGATCCAGACTCAAAGAAGCAAATGAACAAGCCTGGTAGTGGAGGCAATTGGAAAGTGGACATCTGGCTGGTATCCGTTTGTGATAGGAGCAGGGAGGGGGGGGGGAAGACGGATGTGCATCTTGGTCGAAAAGGCTGGAGTTGATCTCCCCCAGGCTCAATTTGCCATGCGCCGTTCCCCGATCAGTCCAATGGACACAAGATGACCAAGGAGGCGAAAAGGATTGGAGGGTCTCGGGGAGACTCCAAGAAACAGAAACAACAGCAATAGGAAATAGAAGGAGAGGGGAGGAGTCGGGAAGGGACAGAGTCAGACGAGCTCAGTCAGCCCCAATGATGGTCGATGATTGATGATGAGGAAAATCGACAAAGACTTTCCTTCCATACCGCCAAACGTAAGTACCTAGTAGTATGTGTGTGTACTGTCCAAGTTACTTTGTGTACATACTCCGTACAATGGATGGTCGGCGGACGGTACGGTACCTGCCAAGTTTGGCGGCCGGCCACCAGCAGCAGCTGCCCATACTAACTCTTAACTTCCTTGAGTCAATCTCACCTCCTTTTCCTCTTCCAGTTCCCTGGCCCGCCATTTCCAGTGCTTTGCTTTCCCTCTCTTCTTTGTTCTTCTTCCTTCTCGTTGTTTTGTTGTTGTGGTTGATGAGTGGAGAAAGTGGAGTACGGTACAGTCATACAGTCAATGAACCACTAGTTTTCAGTTTGCCCGGCTTCATCTTGGACTTCCTTTGCGGCTCAACGGGCTTGCTTGCACCCCCCTCATCCCCCCCTTAACCCTCCGATCTCGATTCAGTACAGTACCAGTCTCGTCCACCGCGTTTCATTTCAGTCCAGTATATTTCCGTCTCTCGGTCCTCAATTCACCGACCGATACGCGCGGTCCGGGATGCATTTCCTTCTTCCCCAGCTGCGGATGACAAGACTGGAGCGACGTCAAAAAAGGAACATGCGACTAATGCGATGATCGCCCACCCGATGCGTTCCATGATCGACCGGACATACATTAGGCCGCTGATGGAATCGCGTTCGGAAACCCGCATCTTTCCCACTCTTTTTGCCTCTCGTAAGGGCTTAGCGCTCGCTCTCGCTCCCCCTCTTGATCCCAACACACGGTACGATGCACCGCTCAATAGTGGCCAGACAGACGGTGTTGCGGTAAACTCTAAAAGTACTGTACTCCAGGTACAGTACATACATTACTCACTGGGTAGGACTTTACCCATTCAAGATTCTATGGAGTGCTGGCTGGCTGCTGCCTCCACTAACTTACCGCTCTCGGCACGTTCCGGTGCCGTTCCAGACGATCTCATTTATGTACAGTACACTACAAGCTGCTGTAGGCGGTCTGCAAATGCAGACATGGGTGCTTGAACTTCCCTTCCCTCCACCACTCTTGGGATAGCTTTGCCTCTTGAGGTTTCAGCATGTGGATCCGCAATGAGAAAGAGACTTTATTTAATTATTCTTTCTCGAAATGGGCAATAAACAGGAAGTGCCAAAAAGGGAATACTCGATACCCTGCTCTCTTGCCATCAACTTGTTTTCTAACCCACATACATACATGCTCAAGCCCCGTTCTCTCATCTGATTTCAAAAATCAGGATACAGCAATCATTCCTAGATCCAGATGCAGCTGGTCCAGCCTGCAGCAGCCGAGACACCATCAGAGATCACATTAGTCCGACCCGATTGTTTTCATTCCAATGGCTTGTCGATTCTAAACGGTGGCAAGTGGGGGTGCCATGGCTACCGAAGCCAGACAGTCTCGGCGCAATAAAGCTTCCCCAGGATAGCCCACCATGCACGTCGTACAAGGGAGTAGGGAGGAGGGAAAGGGTCCGACAGAAAACGATCGGCTCCGGGCCCTTCTGTGAGCCACAAGAAGTCAGCCATGGATGAACAATGGTGAAGACGAGAATTTCCGCCCGCTTCTGGAAAAAGCATCCAACATGAACCGCCGCGTTGTCTTCCGGCCACGACACCTTTCCGAAGCGTGGTGCGACTATCGCGTTGAATCCGAACCTTTCGTAGTTTCACCGCATCATCTCTGATCCTTGAGCAAGGCATGAAGCCTATCGCCTTGCACAGTTCAACCAACGGTCAATGTGGCGGGCCACTGTTGCTTCGAATTTACCCGGCCACCACGAAAAAGGCGACAGGGACGCCTGGGTCCTTGATCGTCTAGCGCGGTTCATGTGGGAAATAGGGGCTTTCGGCGAATTGCATGCGACAACAACTCAGGAAACATCTGAAGCAAAAGAGATCCTTGTAATCTGTATGTCCGTTGATCCTGAGTCGTGGGTCTGGTTTTCAGCCTGGGCTTGTGTTGAATCCGAGACCATGGGCCACGGCCGGTTGAGATCCCTGGCAGGAAGAGAAACAGACCCATCATGCACACCCCTTGTGTGTATGGGCTACGCTTCGCGTCAACACTGGCCTCGCGTTGACCAGTCTCATTGCGATGCTGGCGGGGCGGTTAAGTCCCGAAACTCCTGGGCTCAGACTTCGGATGCTCACTTCCAGGCATCTGGTGACTGCGTCCAAGACCAATCAGCTGTCTGGATGGAATGTTTTGATGCTCATTCTCGATTTATTTGCTTTGCTTGCTCTCACTTAGGAAGTGTTGTAGTTCTTCTTCAAGCCCTGTTCCTATTCGAACCGACGGTACCATAGCGATATTCTCGATCACCTATATCAACATACTAATAATGGTTGTCCCCAACCCTTCATCCCAACACTGCATGCGTCAAGACTTCTGTTTCACGAAACGGTTTTCTCGGATATTGTGTCCCATCAACAAACTTCTGACAGGGCTCGACACGCGACGAGAATATGCCTCTGCCGAATGCCAGTTCAGTCAGTGCCCTGCACCGATATGCCGCCCAGCCTGCCATACCGCCCTCCCTCCTGGCTTCATTCCTCTCCAGCCCTCACTTCATGCCTTATTCGCCACCATGTCGACTCATTCCTTGAATTTGCCTCAAACACCCACTCCGCCTGCAAGAGCTGCAAGACGCTCATGTGACAGTGTTGCCAGTCCGCTCCCTCGCCAGGTAAATGACAAGCCTTGGGCAGGGAAAAATTTCCGGGGTTGCATCTCAGAGTACACACAAGCAGCTCTCCCTGTGGGGTTTTGTTGGAAACCCATTTCCCCCGCGCCTTGCTCTGAATTCGGATGCAGCGTATAGCCTGGGCGGTACGCGGAGAAACGGAAACCCCTTGATCAGACCGCCAGGGCTCAGCCCAAGCTCCGGCCGACTTAAGAAAGATAAAAACCCCCATCTCTCTCTCTCTCTCCCCTTGGTATACCCCCCAAGTCGAACCGCAAGATCCAGTCAAATTCCTTAATCCCTCTCGATCCTCGAGACCCGAACCGACAGTTTCCGGTCCAACTCCTGCTGTTCCTCGGGCGTCGGGGTCAGGCCCATCGCCCCCTCCACCTGCGGCGTCACCCACAGGCCAATCGCCGACCACGCCATGGCGCCGACGCCGAAGAGGGCTCGCGTCTTGGGGGAGAGGCTTTTGTACGAGCTAGAATCGATCAGACAATCTGTCAGTCTAGAGGTGAAAGAAAGATTGAAGGGAAGGTAGGTATGGTAAGTGAATAGTGTGCGTTTCCCCAGGAAGGAATGGCACGATCGTAATCGTAGTTTGGTTCCAAACCCGAAACCGACAACCGACAGGAAGGGTGAAAGGGTAGCAGAACGAACCTCCAGAACGACATTGCAGCGCGAGAGTTCCAGTAAGGAAAGTTAGCAAAAGCGAAAGAGCGAGCAATTCCTGCGCGGCAGTCAAGCTGGCCTTCCGTAGATGACAATATACTGGCAGTGGATTACGGAGCTTGATTCGAAGTGGGCAGGTAGGTAGTAGGTCTGCCGGTGGGAGGATCTTTGCCTCTTTGGGAAAGGCGTACGCTAGGCTTGATTCGGATTAGTATGATGATACCTAAGGGGTCCAGCGGGAGTTGTATACAGATAACTTGTACTCGGTACATAGCAACGACGTCAAATACCTATCGTTTTCGTTGCACTTCTGGATTGATATTTGGCTCTCTGGGATTTTGGGTTGGCTTGGTATAGAGCCTAGTGTTTGTGCTGCTTTACTCTTCATGGGAAGAGAGATTGGCGGGTGACTTGGTTGAAGTGTTAACATAGGTTCAAGCCTACAGAAGCAGTGCAACAGGTACAGTACAGTACATACAGCACTGATGTGGCGCGCGAGGTCTTGTTGCTTCGACGTCACTGACTGGCCCATGCTACCATTTTTTAAAAATGTGAATGAGCAAGAACCGAACTGTTCCATTATCCAGTACCAGTAGCCTCACCTACCTTTCCTGACCCTGAAAGAGACAAGCCGAAAATGACTGGTAAAGAAACAGAACCTGAAAGAATTTTGTAGGAAAGAGCAATGTGATACGCCGAGTACATGAGGAGGGGAGGGGGTTATAAAGACCATCACATATACACATATCACGTCGAAAATTACAGATAAGATCATTCAATTAGAGCAAGCCAGATAGACAACATGCGATGGGGCGAGTGGCAATGCAGCATCACGACAACCAGCGCGGATATCCGTTTAGAGAAGTACATAAGGAAACAAAAAAAAAAAAAAAAAAAAAAAGGCAAAGGAAAGCACATAAGAAATGAAGTACAGAGGAGAAGTGGCTCATGGAATCTCTCTATTTCTTGCCATAGGCACGGTCGACATCGGCCTGGAAGCGATTCAGGATCTTTTTGCGCTGAAGTTTCTGAGCGGCAGTCATGTAGCCCTGTTTGAATCACAAAGAATGTTAGTTATACCGCAGAAATATACGAAAGTGTGTTCGCGTGTTTTGACTTACGTTCTGAGGGGTCCACTCCTCGTCGGAGAGAATGACTCCGTTGATGATCTCGATGCCCTTGAGACCACCGGCCCGGCCAGCAGCCTGAAGCTGCTTGAGGACAATCGACTTCAACTTCTCATTGTGTGCCAGGGTCTCCAGGTTGTCGCCCTCGATACCATTATCCTTGGCGATCTTCTTCAAAGCGGGCTCAAGGGGTACGATGATGGCAACCGGCTTGTCTTGGTCCTGGGCGGCGTAGACACAAATGTTGCCCACCACAGGAGACGACCGATAGACAGACTCGAGCTTCTCCAAGGCAATGTACTCGCCGTTGAGAGTCTTGACCAAGTTCTTCTTGCGGTCAATAATCTTAATGTGACCGTATTTGTCGAACTCGCCAATATCGCCTGTCTTAAACCACCTGTCTTCGGTGAACGCTTCCTTCGTCTCTTCCTCGTTCTCCCAATAGCAGCTGCTAACACTGGGGCCACGGATGTAGATCTCTCCCTGGGGCGGGTTGTTCTTGGCAAAGTAGCCGGCATCGGGGAAGTCCACAAGTTTCATTTCGATCGAACCCGGAATTTCACCCAGAGCGTCCGGGTTCCAGGCCAGAGGGTCGTTCAGGGCACCCATTGCCGACGTTTCGGTCAACCCGTAGCCGCTGATCATAGGAGCGATGGCCATGGACAGGAACTTCTGCGTATCTTTAGAAACGGGTCCACCGCCGTTCATCATGATGCGCAAGCGGCCACCGGTCGCCTCCTTGAGCTTTCGGAAAACAACAGCATCGAGAATTCCAGCACCCGTGTCCACACCAGGGAATCCAGCAGTCATGAGGAAGTTCTTGGCGGACATGGCGCCCCAGAACATGCCCCTGACAAGGAAGTTGTTCTTGTTCAGGTTGTTGAGAACACCCTTCTTGACCGACTCCCACACCGCCGGTACACCAACCAGAATCGTGGGCTTCAGTTCGCGAATATCACCCTTGCAATTACGCATAGAGGCGTCGGAAAGAGTGCGAGGGTTTCCGTAGCCCATAGTACCACCCCAGAATAGGCAGAGGTTCTCAAACATGAATTCGAGGATATGGGCCTGAGGAAGGTATGTCAAAAGCGAATCAGAGGGTCCGATGTAGGGTCCGACAATCGCGTGGATACCCGCACCTATGCTATGGTCAGTTCTGCGGGCATCGGGCAAGAAGCTTAACTAGATTTGCGGACTCACATGCGGAGACAACGTTAGCCTGGGTCAAAGAGACACCCTTGGGAGGTCCAGTTGAACCAGAAGTGTACATGATACAGCACAGATCCTCGCGACTGGGAGGCACCGGGTCCACGGGGTTCTCCTCGCCTAGCTTGCGCAATTCCTCGATGCTGATAACATTCAGATAATCGAACTCCGACTTGAGTTTGTCCAGGTCGTCCTTCTTGACTTCCTGATCGGTGTTGTAGATGACATGCTTGATTGACTTCACATCCTTGAGGACGTGAGCCACCGAAGGGATGAGGCCAGGGTCGCAGAAGATAGCGAGACTGGACGTTTGAACCAGGGAGTGCTTCAAGCCTTCCTCGCCGAGGGTGTCATACGCAGTCACAACCGTCAGCGACTGGGATGCGGCACCTGTAACAGGACAATCCAATCAGTAAGTGGTCCATCAACAAGAAGACGTTCATGCGCACGAACCGTGTGACATGGCCAGCCAATGTGCACTGTCAAAACCGCCACAGTTAGCGTTTCCCCATCACCCGTATGATATTACCATCAGCACCGCTGAGTTACATGCGTACCTTGTTGCGCCGTAGAGATGGATTTTATCCGGCTTCTCCAAGCCGAGTTTGCGCAAACCGCTACCCAGCTCAAGCGCCAGCTTCTCGTACTCGTTGAAGGTCAGGAAGGTATAACCGCTCATCTCGAAGTACGTCCATTCCTTGTCGACCTCCTTTTCCACACCGTCCACGATCTTCTTCACCTTCTTCTTCTCCACGTGGGTCTTGACCAGGCGACGGGTGCCGACCGCCTTCGAGTTTCCGTACAGCCGCGCGGAGCGACGGAAGATCTCGTAGGTGGTGCTGGCATCTTCGGCCGGCCGCTCGAGGAGCCCATCTTTCGCGATAGGCAGTCGGCGAGGAATGGTCTCTCCTTCGACGGGTTCCACGCCGGGAACCTCCACCGAGAAAGGTGGCTTCTTGTACATGCGCGGTTGAATGCGCAGCTCCTTCAAGTTCGTCATGGCGACGGAGGGTTCAGCGCTCGGCGGATCGGACTGAATACAGGATCTGTTGACAGTGGTGGGAAATCTCCCGGTCAGCGACGAGGTGGATTTTGGGTTCGATTTGGGAGGTGGTTCAGAGGGAGGCAAACGCCATGAAAGAGGGGGAACCAGAGGAAGGCCGCGGATAGCACAAAGTCAAAGGTCGACTTACCGTAAGCAAGTTCCGCTATGGGTCGGTTCCACACCGAGAAAGCTTCAATTCCAAGACGTTGCCGGTCTAAGGAGGAAAGGGAGGTAGATGGGAAATCAGATTTAGGGTCAGGTTCGAAGATAAGAATGGAATGTAAACAAGAGTATGGGGGCAGAGGGCTGGAAATGGGGTGAAGAATGGGAGTTGAAATGAGATGGGGAAGGGAAAAGGGAAGGGGAAAGAAAGGTCGGATAGGTGAGTAGGTGAAGCTAGCTAGCTACTACGGAGTACCTAGTAGTTACCGCAGAGGTCTCCCGCACGGCCAGTCTTGCTGTCTTGCGGACAGTGCAGAATAATGAAGTCAGTTTATTGTGGCTGGGCGGGAACCCCCCTCTTTCCTGGTCCTTAATTCGCAGCTACTACTTGGGTATGACGGAACCCGACGGAGCGAGTTGTTGGAATGGGGAATCGGCAAAAAGAATGGGAAGGACAGAAAAATTGGGATTGCCCCCCATGGGTACTGTACTCCGTACCAGCATATTATCATTTCTTGTCTTGTCTCTAAGAGAAAAGCACAAACAGCTTTTCTCGTCGCCATGGCTCTCTCAGTCATTTACGAGATTTCTTTTGGAACCGAGCAAATCATTCGACGCCACGGAGGAGCAAAAGAGAAAAAGAGAGCCAGGAGCTCTGAGCATGGGCATGGGTCGGAAAGTGCACGAGGTGCTACAACAGTAGGTACAGTACGGTCGCTAACGCAACTTGCAGGGCACAGACTGTATGTACAGTACATAGTACATCTCTAGGCAGGATTGAAGGATTGCCGCGGTCCAGAGACTCCAGCTGTCCAGCCAGACTGTCAGCAGAACATACGAACTATGGAGTCATCCGCATATAGCGGCGGATATTATGACCTACAATGACGCCCCCATCGTCATTAAAGATCTGACAGGAAAGTCATCGAGCAATTTTTACCGACAGGGCCCCTCTCAGTAGTTAGTCAATACAGGACCTGATCGTCACCCGCCCTTCGCACCTCTTGGGCTTCAGATCGCAAGTTCGAGTTCTAGCTTGGCACTGAGTGTTTGAGGATCACTCTACTCACATGTCACCAGAGAGAAATCTCGCGTGGACCGAAGAATAGAATTGAATCACTGACATGACAGGGGAAAAAGCAGCTTTCAGGGGATACCTGTGTAACTAGACGAGCATTAGTGCTGACGCCCACGGCCCGTCGGCTATAGTTGACTGTTGGTCACGTAGTCTAGTCAGAGACTAGAGAGTAATGCCATGCCTTGGGCTTATGCACCGCTTATGTAACTATCCTCCGTGATGCTCATTCCCGCTATCTGCAAAACTTCATCCTTCGGGAGATGCCGAGGAATCACTGATATCAAGTGAAACACGCTCGTGCAGATCGGTTGCTGATTATTGCCAAATCGACAGTGCGATATATCCTACCTCTCATCTCTGATTCCTGCTCGAAAAAGCAAAGCTAATTGGGCACCGTTTCTCTATCTAGAGTGGTCCTCCTGTCTGGTCCGTCGCACCGCCGATCTCCGAGTATTCTAGCCATTGGCGCAATTCATACTATAGCCCAACCATTCTGTACCTCCTATTGTTAGGTAGGGAATCAAAGCCTGAAACAATGGAACAGATCACCAGCTTCCTGTCGTTACTTGGAGAAGAAGTAGAAGATGCCGACGAGGGTATGTCCCGAACAATCCATTTGCTTCGATATCAGCCAGTATATGCGTGCCGTATGCAACATAGAAGAGAAACAATCTTTATAGATCACCAACGCTGCAGTCATACCATGTGAAGAGGGGAGAGGCCGAGGGAGATCCAAATCGCTATACATCTGTCTGCATGCACATAGCCAATCTAGCCAGCCGTCCTCACCATCTACCCCAGCGCCAGCTCTATTATAGAACCTTATTAATTGATCCAACCGACCATACCCTACAGAAGCCTTCTACCTTTTCGCACAAGACATCCCATCCTCAAATCTAGGCTTCGTCGACTCGCGCGCTACCACCGTCGACCTCACAATCAATAACCAGGACTACACCATTCATCAATCGCCCACGTTACTCTCCTCGACCCGTGCAGGGGGCACAACAGGCGCAGGTTCGTCCATCAAGCCAAATCTCTCACCGCATACTTCGTGCTGACATGGATTCATCATCAAGTCCTCTGGAAAATCACCCCGCTCTTCTCCGAATGGCTCTCCTCCCCGACCAACCCCCTCTGGACCCAATCCCTCCTCTCGTCCGCCTCCACCGTCGTCGAGCTCGGCTGCGGCATCTCCGGGCTGAATGCCCTCACCCTCGCGCCGAAGGTCCACCACTACATCGCGACAGACCAGGAATACGTCCACCGGCTCTTCCGGCAAAACATCGAGACCAACCACCAGCCCTCGACCGCGACCAGATCCTCCAAGTCTCGTAAGACGCAGCAACCACAACAACAGCCCAAACGCAGCAAACACAAGCAGCAACAGCAACAATCGACATCATCACCAAACATCACCTTCACCTCCCTGGACTGGGAACTCGACATCGCGGGTTCGCTAAAAGCCAGTGTCGGCCTAGAGGACCCTGACATTGACGACGACAACGAGGAGGAAAAAGAGGTAGATCGAGGGTTCGATCTCCTGGTGTCCTGCGATTGTATCTACAACGATGCGCTGGTGGCGCCGTTCGTGCGCACGTGCGCCGATATCAGTCGGTTAAGGCCGATTTATACCACCGATAGTCACGGTGCGGGGAGGAGGGGGAGCAGAACGCCGACGATCTGCCTCATCGCGCAGCAGCAGCGGTCGCCGGAGGTGTTTGAGGCTTGGCTGCAGGAGACGCTGAGGGTGTTTCGCGTCTGGAGGGTCAGTGATGATGTGCTTGGAGGGTCGCTGAGGTCCGGGACGGGGTATTTGGTGCATCTGCTGCTTCTCCGGTAATTGAGAGCTGGTGCTAAGCTTGGGCTTGGGGGGGGACCAAAGAGTGTAGTCGGGTCGGGTCAAGACGGGTTTGGAAGATGCAATAGATCATAGCATGCGTGTCCTACTTATCCCGAATTGGTTCGTTTTCCGACGATGTATGGCGACTCTGGTCGCACGTATGTGTCAACGCCTACGCAACGCAGCATTGGACTCAAGAAACTCATATTCGTTGAAAACTCTTTTGGGTGGTGATGTTGGAAGACTTATAGCAGGAAAGCACGAGCACAGTCACCGTGCGCTATGGCATGGAACATCCCGTTGCTCTTTGAGATGTAGCACAATACAAAGCTATTCAGAAGCATTCAGTATGTGCACGTGATCGGAATACGAAAGACAAGAAGGTAAGCTCAGATCAATTGAGACCCTCGGGGCCAGCCATATGAGGTAAGACATTATTACATTAAGTAAGAAAACAACATGCAGAAGGCCACCCACATATACAAAGGAGGGAGGGTATGTGAAGCAGAATCCCTCGTGGGATGATGGAGACGGCAGTCAACCACCACCGGAAACATGCTCAAAACTATGCAAAGGCAATGATGCGAACATCTTGCGTCTTCAACAGATACCGCAATGCAACGATGATTAGTAAAATTATAAGACTGCTATTACTGTGTATCGGCCGTTTCTTTGGGGTCGGTGTTCTCTTTCTCATGCTCACGTGGACGAGGAAACTCGGCCTCGTCCTTGAAGGGGTGTTTATGGTCCGAGGAGGTTTGCATTGGAATCTCTATCGGACGGGATGGATTCGTATCTAACCGCTCGCGGGGGTCGCTCTCTGGGTCGCGGTCGATGATGGATGAGATGGATTGTTTCGTCGAGCCGTTGAGGCGGGCTTGTAGTTGATGTTGATCGGGGACTGGGGGCATCGTCATTACTGGAGGTGCAGGCAACGTCCTATCCGTGGACTCGGTCTTCACCGGGATGTCGTGGCTTTCCTCTTCATCCGACGCAGAAGAATACTCAATGTCTTGTTGGTATCCTTCGTGGTCTGTGGGGCCGGACTCAAGCCGGCTCTCTTCCGTGGATGCGCGGTTGACATTTGCCACTGGGGGAAGGGGGGCGTTGGGGTCATAAACAAGTCCGCATACCTCCAATGCCCGGGATTGACTGCCCAGGCTGCGGTCCTTGTGTTTCTTCGTCAAATGGCACATGAACCCATGGAGAGTCACAAAGTCGGCCTTCCCACAGCCGGATACTGGGCAAGTTAAATAGACCAGACTACCGTCTGAGGGACGCTTCCAGAGGGCCCTGCCAGAGGGATCATGCGCGGCGGGGCGCCCATGTCGCTCTCCCCAGGCTTCGACATTCTTAATAGTATACTTCTGCTTTCGTCGGATCGAGGTAGCACCGGTGGGGTCATGGTGAATGTGCTGAGGTTGAGGTGGAGGTGGAGGAACGTGGGGTGCAGGTGCTTGTGTCGGCGGTGGAGGGATGGGACGAGGCTCCGGGGGGCTTTGTTGCTTGAAGAATGCAAGGGTAGTGGCTGCATTGGTCTCCGACAACCGACGAGGCGGCGTTGGTCGAAGCGGCGGGGAGTCCATCCCAGCGTTATACCCGAGGCCCATTGATTCTCTTTTCAAGCGCTTTCGTTGCCTACGCAGGTCCTATTCCGTAGGCACATGCGAATCATGTCAGATGATGTGGTTTGTGGAAGAATAATAAAGACACAATTTCACTTCTTTCTGCTGTTGTTCTTAACCATACCTCTTCTTCTGCTTCGGCATTCTCCGTCAACCTACGAAAGTCCTCGTCCTCTCGCTTGCGCATGGCGAGAAGATGGCTACGAGCCGCCATACGAGCCGCTTCTTCATGCTCCAACTGTCTCAGGCGAGCTTCAATCTGGTCAATGTGCGGATGATGAGCGGGCGGTGCTGGGGCGGAAACCGGAGCTGGCGGGCCTGGTTCCTGCATAGGAGGAGGAGGCGGCGGCGGTGGAAAAGGACGAAATTGGTGGTGACCGTGCATCAAATGCTCCGGGGGAATAGCTTGGCCCGGATTCATGGCGATTGGGTGGAAACGTGGGAGGCTCATAGCATTGACATGATGGCCGAGTCCGCCGTTGATCCCGTTCTCGTGCACTGGTGCCACGGGAGGCGCTGCAACTGTCATGGTGGAAGACTGGATGCTCAGTCACAAGATTAGTTATTTGCAATCACTCGTTGCTGGCATGCACATGCAAAAGTCTGCTGGGGTGGTTTGATGCAGCCGCGAAAGAGATGTGCGCTTCGGTGAACGCAAACGACAGTTGACACGATCTCAGAAGTATATCCAAGGAGGGTTATCTCATTGAAGGATGGGGGAATACGTGACCCGACCCAGGTAGGAGGCCGACAAGGGTGGTGGAAGGGAGGTGTAAGAGGGATCAGAGAGAGGGGGGTGTGGGGGGGAAGAGGAAAGGAGGGTAAGTAGGATTGAAGTAAATGTGAGATACTAGTCGCACGGCGGATGATATGATGAAACTCAATGAGGGCAAGGGAGGCAGGGTGTAAAGGACCGACTCTACTTACTCTCTTTTACACTTGCAGCAATGATCAAAGCAATGTCAAAGGGCAGTAGAGTAAGTGTACAGCAAGTACTACTGTACCAACCAAGAACAGAAAGAAAAAAAACAAATTGCTAGCGCGATGCAGCTTGCCCGTTTTTCTCTCCAATTCTTTTTTTCCTTTCCACCTTCTGGAAAATCTCCCGTGAATTTTCCTCAGTGGGCTGTTTCGTTGTCACCCACTAGAATTGCAAAACGATGCAAGTGGCAACGGTCAAGCAAGGGGAGTCGATGGTTGGGGGAAAACCAAGAGGAAGAACACAATCAAGAGTTCAAGGTCAACAATAGATCGTGGATAGAAAGGGTCCTAACAGAGATGGGGTTTGAACGAAAGTTCAAGCTCAGACAACATTGAAAAGAAAACAACAAGCGCAAGAGTAGAAGAGGATACAGAGTTGGAGAAATATTAATCAAAAGTGATAATAACAATAATAAATTAAACCAGTCAGCTGGGACAGCTCTAGTCAGGACGCTAGTAGCTAATAAAACTAGTCAAGAGTAGTCAGTGGTGACTAGACTAGACTAGAGCTGTGAACAAAAAAGCCAGTTTGATTTTACGGTCAGTTGGAAACAAACAATTCCATGGATGAAGTCTGGGACTCTGGGACTTGCAACAGCACTAGTAAGGTCCCGATGTCAGATCTAGTAATAATTGACAATATTGGCCATAGTTCTCCGCGTGATGGAGGACAAAAATGCACAACTCTTAAACTTCATTGGCATAACAGCAACATCGTTCGGAGAATTTAATAGTTTTTAAGAGACTGGAGCTGTCAGGCGTGAAGTTTCTCTTTTGGAGAGGACAGAGGGAGAGGAAGAGGGAGAGGAATTGGAACTTGATGGAAAATTGCCCTAAGACGCAATTGTCAAATTGGCAAAATGATTACACCTCCCCTTCTTCTTCTTGGTGCCAAAATCCTTCAGTGCCAAAACTCATTATGTGTTGTATTAGCCTGTACCCCCTCTTCCCCCCCTCTCTCCGAGCTGAGAAAACCCACTACTGTCACACTAGTGACAAACACAAATCGGCCCAGGATTCTATGAATGTATTCCGTAAAATCTTCTTATTCATCATCCACTTCCCTCTCCAAATCTAATCTTGGATCTGAGATGTATTCACCTTGATTGCTTAGCGTAAAGCAGGCAAGCAGCAGAAAATGAAGAAAATGAAATAAAATAAAAGAAGAATAATCAGGAGCAAAGACCAGGGTTGATATGTGCCATGCCACAACAACTAGGGCATCCCCCCGGGTGAAGTACCGAAAACCACACAAGGTGGAATCGTCAAATGGGACCAAAAAATCAGGTACACCCACGGCAAAGGACTGCACTCTTTTTGGTTGAAGTGGTCCCTCTCCGGGTGCTTCGCCTCGGTAAGTCGATGATGAATCACCCAAGGCATTTTCAACACTTGCAAAGAGATTCAGCATGTAAAACAGGTTGTCGTAATAATAATCATAATCATAATAATAATAATAAAAACAATTGATATGTGGTACATCCAAAGTTTCCTAGTCCTCTTTCTATCTCTTCAGTAGTGCTACCTTGGTTTTTATTTTTAGCCCTGAGGCTGGCAGCCAATGAGGCCCAGCTGATCTACTATTTATCTTGTAACGCAAGTTTTGAAAAGACAGGTAGAATATCCTGGAAGTTTAATGTCTGACACATGGCCAACCGCGATTGCAATTGGAATACTCTATTGATTGCGACAAGAATCCGTCATCAACAACTCAACCCTGTTCGTTCCCGCAGCATACCTTATGAATTGCAGTGGGATCTGAAGAAGGAAGAACAGACGGCGCGACGGGGAATAGACTGGGCAGACAGGCAGGCAGGCCACCCAGAAGTGGGCGGTACCTTTTCCTCCAGTGTTTAAGGAGAAAAAGTGGATGTACGTACTACGACTGTGCTGATGAGGGTAAGTAATAATGAGGGCACCAAGTGGGGAATGACCCAAACCTCGACTGGAATATTCCTGGAACAGGTACATTAGCAGAGTGATCGACAAATGATGAAGGAGAAAATTTGCAGCCAGACGTAGACGCCTCAATCTAAGGAAATAGACTTGCTCCAAGTGGCTCTGAAATTAGGCTGGACGTGAGGAGCGCCCTTTTTGTCTAAGCCAGAGCCAGGGTAGAGAACGGGGCGCGCAACAGACGATCCAGACTTCTTTTGGGTCGGTAACAGTCGGATAAGGACTGTCTGTTAGTAACAGGCTTCTGTCTTCCATGAAGCATTGTGTGGTCCGAGCTGAATCATCAACAAATCGCTCTCACACTGTCTGTCACTGGGACTTTTAGTCTTAGATCGCAACAACATTCAATTGTTCTTCTCATGAATACATCGGGTACAGTACGTGTTCAGAGCCCACCCTAAAAATCAAGTCTACTCTGCCAGTCGGCCAGCCAATGTATCAACTGCAGTTGTGTACAGCGTTGATTTGTCCTCTCTGCGGCACCACTGCTGCAAGTCTCCCAGTGAAGATTGGCTGCATCATGATGGCTGT